ACCAGAAGCAGCAGAGCCGCAGCAGCAGGAGCCGGAGAAGCCAGTGGAAGAGCGGCGGCCAGCAGCGCTCGGAGAGGAGGAGGAGGAGGAAGAGGAGGAGGCGGAGGGAGGAGGAGGAGGAGGAGGAGGAGGAGAAGGAGGAGGAGGAGGAGGAGGAGGAGGAGGTGGAGGAGGAGGTATGAGGAGGAGGGGAGGGAGGAGGAGGAGAGGAGGAGGAGGAGGAGGAGGAGGAGGGGAGGAGGAGGAGGAAGGGGAGGAGGAGGAGGAGGTGGAGGTGGAGGCGGAGGCGGAGGCGGAGGCGGAGGCGGAGGCGGAGGCGGAGGCGGAGGAGGAGGAGGAGGAGGGGGAGGAGGAGGAGGAGGAGGAGGATACGATACGATACGATACGATACGCACACCCTTAACGCCATGTTGTCTGATTGTTCTGTGAGTGCTGTACTCACTGAGCTCCAAAAACGCGCAGCAGTGGGCCCTGGCATACACAAGACTGACTGGAGGCGGATGACGCGGTGAACCTTCCCTTTGGAATTGAGTGCCTATGCCATGCTCTAAGCACCAGGGCCGCAGAGCCGCGCGTGGCGGCGCGCGCGCGCGCCGCCCGTCAGCCGCCCGCGGCCCCCCTCTGGCCAGCCCGCGATCCCCCCGACCGCCGCGGCGCCCGCGGCGCCGAGCGGCCCGCGGGGTTTCGCGATGGGGGTGGTGGACAGGACCGCCACCGAGAGGAGGGGGGAGGGGGACAGGACCGAGAGGAGGGGGAGGTGGACGAGGAGGAGGAGGAGGGGGAGGTGGACCGCCACCGAGAGGAGGGGGAGGGGGAGGTGGGCGAGGAGGAGCAGGAGGGATCTGCGGAGGGGGAGAGGGAGGGAGGGCGGGAGGGAGGGGTGGATCGAAGTTCTCGGGTGGTTCGCCGATTCTTTCCGAAATCCCCGCGAGCCCTCCGAGAGCCCTCTGGCCAGCCGCGCGAAGCTTTCGAGTGGCTGGTCGAAACTATTCAGAAGCCGCGCGACGAACTTTTCGATTTTTTCGAGTGACCGACCCTCTTGTACGTTTCGGCCCCTGACCAAACCCCTGACTCTCAAATGGCTCCCCTTGGGGGGGCGGGGGGGGCGGAGAGGACGGCGTGGGGGGAAGGAGGCCTGAGAGCGGGCGCTCCTGCGCAATTCGTCGCCACTATCGTGGGCCTCCTGTCAGGCCCCGCGGAGTGCTGTCTTACGCACATCCATGGGGTGGGCATGCGTCCACTAATCGACCGTCTTCTTTAGGACGCGTGTTGGGCAGGTTTTGCGGCCTCATGATGGCCAAGGCCAGCATTCCCGCCAGCAGCGGCATTTACGTGTTTGATGTTTCTGGGAAACCGTGCCTTTGCATTTTTGGTGGGATTTGCATTTTCGCGCGATTTGCGTTTTTTGTGGCTCTATGCCTGCCAAGAGAAGAGTCCGAACGCCCGTGCCAGCACATCCAGGCTAGACCGCGCGGCTACCTAGGGGATTCCCACCTGCGCAACCGTCGCAATTTTCGTGGGCTCCGAAAGCTCCGGACTAGTCGCTCGACGTGTTCGAGTGGCCAGTCGAAGCCGCCCACAAACCAGGATGTGCGCAAGGCAGTGGGCTTATGCTGTGGACCGCCCCCGCGCGGCCGCCCGAATGAGGTGGATCTGGCCCTGGGGGAGGGGAGATCACTGAAGTCACCAGCCTGGAACATATCCCTATTTCTATGATTGGCATCGCCTCATCTCGATGCCGATCTTAGGGATTCCCTCCGTTTCTGAGGACGCATCCCTGAGGTCGTCGTCGACTTTTGGCTCGTTGCTCTCAGGGATAGGGATGCGTTCGAGGCTGGTTATGAAGGGGAGGGTTGAACTAAACACGAGAGTCGTTTTTTTTGGGCCGCGCTGCTAGAGGCAAATCCGATTCGCTCCGCAGCCTCGTCGGCCGAGCCAGCCTGCCAGCGCGAGCCTCCTCCCGCCTGCCGAGAGCACGCTGCGTGAGTCGCTCTGCGAGGCCGGGGTCCCGCACCGGAGCTCTGCCGTCACGAGTTCGCGGATGTTCAGGAGGGGACAAAAACACACACAGACACAATTGATCGTCGATTCCCCAGAAAATGTGGGAAGATATGGGAAGTGGGGGGGAAGACGAAAACCCAGGAAATATACGAAAACATGGGGGATCCTTCTATTTGTGTGTATTTATTTGTGTGTCCCAGGGCCCCTTCAAATGTGGGCTGTCTTTTGAAATTGCAGCTTGGAGTCGTCTGGGGGTCTGAGGTGGCTCAGCATTGGCTCCTGTCAGCAGGAAGAGCGAGCAGGTCCGAGGTGCTGAGTTCGGGCAGGTGTTTCGGCTGTTTCGGCCTCTGGGGGCCGTTTTTTCGGCCGCGGGACCGTCAAACATGGATCCTGGGTGACACGCTACACCAGATTGACCCCGGGATGGGTCCAGGGACCGATTTTGAGCGGATTTGGTTTCATCCCCCTTCCTGACAAATTTTCGGGGGTCCCATCCAGCGTAGACCCCCCAGCGGCCTCCTACACCTAAGTTCCATCGTCATCGGGCAGTTCTCGGCTGCTCAGAACCTCCGCCCCGTGCGTTCTACAAGGTACGAGGTCGAATATATGCATGGCCACGGGCGGTCAGAGCGAATTTGCGTACAGAAGTGTCGCTGTCCATGAGAACCGCGTCTGGATTTCTGAATGTGACCCTGTTCTCAGCGGGATTATAGACAAGCGTATCTGCAATGGCCATATTCGTATCGACGCACTGCTCAGGCACACATTCTCGGCCTGGTATCGAGTTCCGACGTGCAGAACTATGAAGAGCATCTGCCAGAAAACAGTGGATACCAATGTGTCGTGTGTCGCCCGGTGGTTGCGAATTTTAGCGTTGGCGCCGAAGTGGAGGGTGCCGACATGGGAGTGGCATCGCCATGCGAGTTCCTCCATTGGGGCTATACGTTGAGCTCCGTATGGAGCACGATCCGAGTGAGGGGTGTGCCGAATTTTGTTGGAAAGTGGAGCGCATGCGAGGAGGACAGTGGAGGAGGAGGAGGAGGAGGAGGAGGAGGAGGAGGAGGAGGAGGACATAACCACATGAAAGATCGTGCCGAGTTCAGTGACAGGGTGGATGAGAGAGCGCGGGAGAGCATGGTGGCACATTCTCATATCGGCGACACGAACCAGGGGTCGGGGATCTTACGACCCATGGAGTCACCAGGGCGACACCCCTCACGGCCAGCGTCCGACTCAGGGCCAGAAATTGGCGTGGCAATTCCTGTGAACCGTATTGAAACGCACATCACTCTAAGCGCTAAGCCAATCCACACCGCGACATCGTCCGAGTAGAGAAGTCGATAGGGTAGGGGGGGAGCGGCATAGCAGGTGGAGGAGGGGGAGGGGCAGGGGACGGAGGAAGGAATGAGGAAGGAGGAGACGCGGCGCTGTGGATTCCGGCCGTTGACCCAACACAACAGGAGGGTTGTGAAGCACAGTTTCAAAGCCCATGGTCGCTGGGTGATTTTGGCCTGGTGGGGGCCGCCCTCGAGGACCTCCAAGACGGCACAACATAGTTGCGACCGTCAGCGAACTTTACCACTGCGGGTCCCATCAATGCCGTGATATCGGACACCCCTGCGGGGCATCCTTTAGCTGCAGGCATCTTGCAAATTTTGAGCCCCAGCCAGTTCTCCCAGACATCGCACCTGCATGGTCAGGGCTCGCTTCCGGCGGCGAGCGAGGGGGGGGGCAGCGAGAAGAAGAAGAAGAAGGTCTTCTCAGATGGCGGCGGGGCCTTTTCAGAAGGCCTCGCGCCTTCCGATGAGACTTCTGCGCCGTCGGAGACGGCCGAGAATCGGGGGTGGACAGAACCCCCAACAGTGACACGTCGATTAGTGAATTGTCCGTTTTCAGTCCTCGAGAGGGCGCCGTGGCCGTTATTTTCCAGGCTCGCGCTCGCCAGGTTTGGGCCTCGGGTCGCTGTCACGAAACCACGTTTTACGAAAGGGGGGCCTGTCCATCCCCGAGAGACGACCTCCCCAGAAGGGCGGGGGACCCCCGGGCGTCGCACGCCCCGCGGGGGGTCGCCCGCGAGCCCCCCGGCCGCCCCGCGGGCCCCTCGCGCCGCGGGCCTCCTCGGGGCCGCGCGGCGGGAGGCGCGGGGAGCGCGCGGCGGGGCGTGCGGGAGGCCCGTGCGGAGGAGGAGGAGGAGGAGGAGGAGGAGGAGGAGGAGGAATAACACCAGGGGCTCCCACGAGAGCGCGAGGCTGTTCTCGCCTCGCGCTTGGCAGTCCTTCGCTCCCCCTCCCCCTCGTCCACGTCCTCCTTTCTTCCCGTTGGGGTGGGGGGGGGGCGGCGCGAGAGCGCGAGGTTCTTCGCGCCCTCGCGCCTCGCGGAGCGCGAGGGCGCGAAATTGGGAGCCCTTGAGAACACGGATGAGCGACTTTCCGGTGTTGCTCCAGACTTCGTAAGACAACGGAGGGAGGCACAACCCTCCCAGAAGAGCAGTTTAAGGCCCCCAGCCCAGACCAGCCATGATCAGGCGGCCTCTTGCCACTGCCCAGACCCCACGGAGCCCTCCAAGGTAGCTCAAGTCAGACCCTCCCCAAAATCAGACCACAACCTTTTTGTCATGGAATTCGGAGTACCCTTTGCATCCTTCCTCTTCGGCGCATCCCTGGCCACTTACGCGGGCCGCGCCCCGCTCGAAGAGTCCGCGCCCCGCTCGAAGAGTGTCGACGCGGCCTTACAGGGCCCTTGCATCCTCAGCGTGTATCCTTATCATACGCGTTGACTGTAGTTTTCAGGACTGTTGAGGACTTGGTGATTCCGTTTTCAGCTCACGCGGTTCGGTGACGGATTTTTGGACCGAAGCATCACGTTGTTGCCGCGTGCACAGGCAGAGCGGCAGGACGCCACTGATTCTTCTGGTGACGCCGCGTGCGTTCTTCTGGCATCGGGTGCAGGCTGATTATCTGCCCCGATTGCTGTCAGGACAGATGAGTTCCGGCAGATCATGAAGAGCATCGCTGCCAAGGGAGGTGTTGCGCCCAGCATAGCCGCGCTGCGATGGGGAACGTGACGTTTCTGAATTCAAGGCGCTTCGCGTAACCCCACCAGCCCATTCAGAAGCGATGCCCAGGCGAGTTGCCCCGATCGGGGATGTGGATGAGCATGCAGTGAAATAAAAGGCGGGGGAAGCCGTCATACCCTAAGAGGGGGATGATGGATGAGGACTCGGAGGAGGAGGTTGAGGAGGAGGAGGAGGAGGAGAAGGAGTAGGAGGAACAGGAGGAGGAACAGGAGGAGGAGGAGGAGGAGGAGGAGGAGGAGGAGGAGGAGGAGGAGGGAGAGGAGGAGGAGGAGGAGGAGGAGGAGAGAAGGAGCAGGGGGGGGAGGGGAGGGAGAGGGGAGGGGGAGAAGGGAGGAGGGAGGGAGTGATGAGGAAGAATGGGCGGATGAGGAAGAGAAGAGGAGGAGGAGGAGCTGGAGGAGGAGGAGGAGCTGGAGGAGGAGGAGGGGAGGAGGAGGGAGGAGGAGGAGGAGGAGGAGGAGGAGGAGGAGCACAAGCGCCAGAGGCCTCTTAGATGCCTCTGGGAGTCTCTTCGAATGTCTATTGAGAGCTTCTCGGAGTCCTCTTGGAGCGTTTTGGGGGCCTCTTGGAGCGGGTTTCTGGGTGGAGCCTCTTGGGACCCCTTGGGGGTCTCTTGGGAGCCCTTGGGGGTCTCTTGGGAGCCACTTGGGGACCTCTTGGGGATCTCTTGGGGCCCTCTTGGGGCCCTCTTGGGGCACTCTTGGGAGCCTTTGGGGCCATCTTTGGGCCAGCTCGGAGATGTCCGATCAAAGGGGGGAACTGCATTAGCCTTGCCCCCCCCCTCCCTCCCACCCCAGGAGGCCAAATGTGCCAAAAACCTGCGTGAAAACAATACTTCGGCATTCTTGGACGCACTGACACCTCGCCGCCCCCCCCCCCCCCCCGCACCCCCTGTCCAGATCCAGGGGAGGGGGTAGGGGAAGGTGTAAGCCCCTCCCCGAAGGGAAAGAGGAGAGATGGAAGAGGAAACGTTCTAACCCGCTCACGCCCAGCGGGCTGGTGGGAGTTTGCATCTCTTTTCTCCTCGTCCACTTCCCAACTCCCCCTCCCTCCTTCCTGGGCCAGGGGGCCAGTGCACCAGAGCAACCATCCGAGGGCCCACGGGGTTCGCCGAGGTTCTACGTAGCATAAGGCCCCCGCGCCATACGTACCCCGCCCTCCGCCAGGCTTCCTCCATCCCTGCAGTACCCCACCTCGACCCTTTCAGCCTCCCACCCTTCCCCTCATCCCTGCCCATCCTCTCGGCCTTGTTCCGCATCCTCCTCCTGCTGTTTCGCTCCTGCCGCTGCTGCTGCTCCATCCTCCCCATCCTCCTCCTGCCGGTCAGCTCCTGCCGCTGCTGCTGCTGCTCCTCCTCCTCTTCCTGCCGTTTAGCTTCTGCCGCTGCTGCTGCTGCTGCTCCTCCGCCTCCTGCTCCTCCCTCTCCTCCTGCTCCTCCTCCTCCTCCTCCTCCTCCTCCTCCTCCTCCTCCTCCTCCCCATCCATTCCCCTCCTGCTGTGTAGCTGCTGCTGCTGCTCCTCCTCCTTGCCTCCTCCTCCTCCTCCTCCTCCTCCTCCTCCTCCTCCTCCTCCCCCTCCCCCTCCCCCTCCCCCTCCTGGTGTGTAGCTCCTGCTTCTGCTCTTTCTCCTTCTCCCGCCGCGGCCGAACAGCGCGTCTCGGCGCGCTCCCACGTCCGCAGGCGGACGCCCCATCGTGCCTGTAGCGGCGCGCCGCGCCCGCGGTCGGCGCGGCAGCCCCCAGGACCACATTGCGAGGCGATCCCACCCGCGAGGGCCTCTTCTGCGCACGCCCTCCCAATGTGAGGGCCTCGTCGGTGCACGCTACAGTCGGGGCGCTGAAGAAGGAACCCTTCTCGTTGGCGAGGGGCTCGGTGTTCCTTGATTGTTTTACAGTTCGCGTGGGGGTTCCATGGGAAATCGAAGTTTGACTTATGGGAAGAAGGGGCCTCGTTCCTTATTTAGGGTTCCTTAGGTTAACGCCCCGCCTGTATCCCCGTGCCAGGGCTCACTCGTGCAATCAGCGGGCTGGCGGCGCCACATGGCACGCTATCTCTGCAGCGCCAGCAGTGTACCCAGTGTGCCCATATCCAGTGCGTCTTCGGGTTTTGGGCTCCCTTCCCTCAAGAACCACAGGCCCAGTGGACATGAGTTGCACTCCGGCCCCTGGATGCTAGACTTGTATCCTGACCGCCTCGGCTTCTGTTGCCCCCCTCTCAGAAAGTCCAAGACGCAATGGATATAGGATATGAGTATAAAGATTGCCTCCAGCAGTCTCCAGGGTGCTCGATCCCCCCGCCGCCTCCAGCCAACGCCAGGGGAGGGGGGAGGGAACGTAACGCTCAGGTGAGCACCAGGAGGCATACGCAGAGAGGGCAGCGACTCGGCGGGGATAGCGGTAGCTCTCTGCAGGAAGAAACCTTGCTTTAGTGTTTCCTCCTTCTTCTCCTTCTCTCCCTCCTCTTCCTCCTCCTCCTCTTCTTCTTCTTCTTCTTCCTCCTCCTCCTCCTCCTCTCCTCCCTCCTCCTGCTCTTCCTCCTCCTCCTCCTCCTCCTCCTCCTCCTCCTCCTCTTCCTCCTCTCCTTCCTCTCCCTCTCCCTCTCCCTTTTCCTCCCCCTCCTCCTCCTCGTCCTCCTCCTCCTCCTCCTTCGCCTCGACCCTGCGGATACGGGATTTTTTTCCCCCGGATGCACCGCGCGGAACGTGTCCGTGCGACCTCGTATCCGCGGGATCGCGCCCTAGAGTCCAGACAGTGAGGTCGCGGATCTGGATATGTTCGCCGCTCGTGAGGAGAGGAGGATCCCTCCTCGGACGGGGCCAGAAGGAAAAATCCGTTCCAGAGAGCTCCGGAACGCTCTCAGAGCGTTCCAGAGAACGCTCTGAGAAGGCGGCGGCGCCCGAGACGGTCCTCCAGAGCCGCCGGATCTCAGAGATTCTCGATTTCTCCTCAGCCAGTTTTGTGCTCGTCCCGGCTTCGTCTTACCTATCCCCCCCGCCGGGCCGCTGGACGCCATCCCGAGGCATCCCGGGGCTCGACAAGCTCGACATCGCCCCGCAGCAGCAGGAGCCGCGGGGGGGGGGATGGGGGCCTGCGGGCGCCTGCGATCTGGACCTGCTCCGCCTCGGCCTCGTGTGCTCGTCGCCCTCGTGCTCGCCCTCGTCCTTCCTTTGGCGTTGCAAAGATGGCGTGCGATTTGGCGTCGCCGTCCCGCTCGGAGGAAAAGGTACCATTACCGTCGAGTCGGGCGTGTTCCTCTACAGGAGGAATGTTCAAAAGCGGTACCAAAGTAGTCTGGGGACGATTTTCCGAGTTATGTTGTAATCTTTCTGAGCAATGTTTGCCACTTTTTTTTCCGACCAAAGTCCGCCTGTAGGAGGACACGCCCGACCTAATCTTACCGCTGCCTTTCCCTCGTTTTCCCCCTCGTGGGCCTCCTGGGAGGGCTTGGGAGGCCCACGTCGCCACCACTGGATTCGCCTCGAGAGTCTGGTCGGAGCGCAGCCCGGGAGAGGTCTAGGGAGTAGCGGTGTCGGTACGTTTTGGTTTCTCCAAGGTTTCGGGTGCGGCAAAGAGGGGGGTGATGACTAGGGTGGTCGTGGATCTCATGGCGTGGGCCATGATATTTCCCCAGGTTTCATGGCGCCTCTTCTTATGTTGTTGCGTCCCTGGCACCCCCCCTGGGCCGCTCACATGCCGCCGGCCAGGATTTGCCCCCCCCCCCCCCCCCCCCCTCTCTCTTGAACGCCCCCCTCTTGGCCACTCCCGAAGTACACGCCACCCCCCCACCCTCGGGGACAGCGTGCCGTGCACCGAGGAGAGCCCCGGCAGGGGGAGACGGCGTGCACCGACGAGAGGCCCTCTCTCAGGGGGGCCGGCGTGCGCAGGAGAGAGGCCCCCCCGGGGGGGGGGTGGGAGCGCCTCGCCGGGGGCCGCAGCGCTCGTCGGAGAGCGCTGCGGCACGCCGCCCTTGCAGCGCCAGCCCTCGCGATTCAGGCGATCGCAGACATGGATTGATCGGGCCAGGCGAAAGGGGGCCGCCTCCGGCGCCGGGAGGCGCCGGGAAAATCAGCTGCGTGAGATGATTCTCACCCCCATCCCCTTTGCTATCCCCCCCTTTCGCCCGACCCGAATTCAGGGGGCGTGGATTGGCGACGGGTCAAGTTCCCAGGCCTGGCATCGCTCGGACGTGTGCAGTTTCTTCCCGGCGAGAACCATCGAGGAGCATCCTGGAGCACCGAGCAGAAGTAACACGCACGAAACCGAAGAATGCACGGGAAATGGACGTCCGAGCGACGGCAAGCAGGGGACATCGCGGATTTCAGCCCCCGAGCGAGGCGGCAGCGGCCGCATTTTGGGGAGGGCGCCTCCCCCGATCCATGGATTTGGCGACCGCGCGCCTCATGCATGGATTGCTACTCCATGTTTGCGCGCCCCCGAAAGATCCAGGAAGCGCAGACACGCGACAGGGGTGAAGTCGCTTGGGTGAGCGACGGTTCATTCTTCCATGCCAACGTCGGGGGCACCTGAGCTGCTCGCGTAAGACCGCGCGTAAGCGCCCTCGTTTCCAATGTGGCGTGCCGCGCTGGCGGCCCGCGTAAGCCGCCGGATAAGGTCGCTGTGTCATCTCGCGTAAGGCCCCTTTCTTTTATCGCTTAGTTGAAGTTCCTAGGATCATCTCGATTTCAGTACCTGTTGTGTCTCATACTTTTTCATGTGCGCTTTTCCTTGAAATCGAGCTTCTTCTGGTCTTCTGCATGGTGCCCCCGCTGCAGCGCTGGCATCATTTCAGATCCAGCGCTTGACTCCAGTCGTTCAGAACGCCGTTCTCGCCCCCTTGCGCGGGCCACATTTCTGGATCTGATTCGTCCTCCTCTAGGCCTCCCAGATCTGGTCCGAGCAGATGGGGTCGGAGGATCGCGTCGCATCGCCGATGCATTCGGCGATGCGGCTTGATGTGCAGCCCGATGTTCACCGCGCCGACGTCGCCGATGCATCGCCAGTGCGTGGGCGATGCATCGGCGATGCGCTACGATCGCCTTGCCCCATCTACTCGGACCCCATGTAGGAGGTCTCTACCTCCGCAATCCCCTGGTCATCCCGCTCCTCCCGTTCCTGCTACTGCTGCTCCTCCTCCTGACATCATCATCATCATCATCAGCAGCAGCAGCAGCATCATCATCAGCATCATCACCATCCTTGTTGGCATGCTCATCCGCAATCTCCTCCAACCCTCAATGTACACATATCCCATTTCTGGTAGGGTCGCTTTGGGGGTCCATGTCCGCCAGGGCACTCGTCGGCGGATAGAGTGCAACTGAGCGCAGTTGGAGTGTATGGGTGTGATGGTAGGCTTTCAGAAACGGCGCGAATGCACCTCGATTCCTTTCCCTCTCGCTCTCGCTCTCGCTCTCAGTTTCCCCCCCCCTCTCTCTCTCCCTCTATGCCTGTGCATATGTATCATTGCTTCATGTCTATGGTGATGGTTTGTTTTGTTCTTTCTCTCTCTCTCTCTCTATCTCTCTTCTTCACTCTTTATATACATATATATACACACATATATCTCTCTATTTCTTTACTTGTTCGTTCTCTCTCTCTCTCTCCCTCTTCCCCACCCATCCCTTCTTCCCCCTCCGCCTGCCTCTTCCCTCTCCCTCCCCGTCCTTTGGGGGAGGAGGAGAAGGATGAGGACACCCTGACCACATTGAATTCTTTACGCTTCGCGTATCCCCACCAGCCCATCTCACAGCAGCAACTCTTGCGAAGCATGCCGACAGTCGTGTTTTTCAGGCGTGTGTCCGCTTGGCCCCGCATATCTCCCCTGTTCCTCCTTCCTCCCGCCTCCTTGTACATCCTCCTTGTGGGGGGAGCGGGAGAAGGACGAGGCGGAGGAGGAGGGAGAGAAAGCGCTCCTCGTGGTTTGAGTCGTTTGGGGTTTCTCGTCCTGGTGTGAGTCGTTCGGGCCCTTCTTCCTGGTGTGAGTCGTTCGGGCTCTTCGTGGTGTGAGTCGTTCGGGCTCTTCGTCCTGGTGTGAGTCGTTCGGGCTTCTCGTGGTGTGAGTTGTTCGGGCCCCTCGTCCTGGTGTGAGTCGTTCGGGCCCCTCCTCCTGGTGTGACTCGTTCGGGCTCCTCGTGGTGTGAGTCGTTCGGGGCCCGCGTCGTGGTGTGAGTCGTTCGGGCTCCTCGTGGTGTGAGTCGTTCGGGCGCCTCGTCCTGGTGTGAGTCGTTCGGGCCCCTCCTTCGTTCGGGCTCTTCGTGGTGTGAGTCGTTCGGGAGTCGTTCGGGCTCCTCGTGGGGCCTCCTCTGGGGCCTCTTGGGAGCCTCTTGGGGCCTCCTGGGGGCCTCTTGGGGCCATCTGGGGGCCTCCTGCGACCTCCTCAGAAGCGCAAATGAGCGCTGCCCCCTGAGAAGGACAAAATGAGCCCCAAACCTTCGTAAAATCAATGATTTTGCTATGAAGGACGATGAGCGCGGCCCCCTCAGAAGGCCAAAATGGCCCAAAACCTGAGTAAAATCAATGTTTTTTGCTTCAAAGACGAGCGGAGGCGCCAGACGGTCCCCCCCCCTCGGGGCGAGAATCCTCGTGAGGGTCGTCGTTTTTTAGCCCTCCCAGGAGTCGAAAAAGACCCCCCCTGACCACGCTCGGGACTCCCTCTCCAGGCCCAGGGGGAGGGGGGAGGGGGAGGGGTAAACCCCTCCCCGAAGGGGAAGAAGGGGGGTTGAGGACAGAGAGAGCTCTCTAAACCACTCACGCCCAAAGGGCTGGTGGGATTCTTCAGGGCACCCCCGGACACGCCTAAAACCCCAGAGCGCCCCTTACACAGGACCAAGAAGCTCCCCCCTCTTCCTCCCGCCTCCCCCGTCTCCCCCCTCTCCTCTCCCTCGAGACAGGGGGCAATGGAGCGAGGAGCTCGTGCTCCCCGCTCCCGCTCCCCCTTCGTCCCTCCTCCTCCTCGCTCCCTCCCTTCTCCCCGACGGAGAAGGAGAGGAACAGGGGCAGGCCAGCCACAACTGGGGAAGCCGTGTTCCTCACCCCCCCAGGGGGCCCATGGATTTCGACACCCCTCTCGAGAGATCGTCGATGCGATGGGTTCCCCCAGGGGGGTAAGCAAGGGCGCCCTCGAGGGCGCGAAGTTATTCGCGCTTCGCGGTCCTCGCTCCTTGTCCCCCCCCCCCTCGTCCTCCTTTTCTCCCTTCGGGGGGGCGGCGCGAGAGCGCGAAGTTGGGAGCCCCAGGCAAGGACCACAGCCCCCCCAGTCATGCGGTTGAGGGAAACAGTTAAGCAACACTCCCCCCTACCCCGCAATTCAAAGTTGACAGGTTTTCGCAAGACCGCTCGGAGGCCCCAAATCGGAAGGTCCGAAACCAGCATTACATTTGGGGGGAGGGGGGGGAGGTTCAAACCATATGTTCTGCATGAGTGTTGCTTACTTGTTTCCGGCACCTGTGGCTGGGCGGAGGGGCCCCGCAAAAGGGTGGACGGTTTTCTCCTCCGCGGGGCCGCCACCCCGCGATGCGGTCCTCCCCACAGGAGGCGCCCCGCGCGCGCCTGCGAGCGCGCGTGGATCGGGAGGGAAAGAAGCACACACACAGACACCGTGAGTCGTCGACTCCTGGGAGAAAATGGGAAACCATGGGAAGGGGGGGGGGGGAACATAGAGAGACGCCCAGGAAGTATATGGACAAATGTTGGGATTCCCGTCGTTTGTGTATATATATATATAGATGTATATGTATATTTATATATATATATATATATATGTATACATGTATATATATATATATGTGTGCGCGTGTGTGTGTGTGTGTGTGCGTGTGTTTGTGGGCCCCTTTCAACGGAGCGGAGCGGCGTCGGCGCTCGCCTCGCCTCGCCCTCCTCCCTCTCCCTCCCGCCCTCCGGGCAGCCCCTCGGCAGCCACGCCTCCGCGCCGCGGGGGCCCTCGAGCGCGCGTCCGCTGCTCGCAGAGGTGCCCACAGTGGGGGCGCGCGTCAAGAGACCATCTGCTTTTCGTCAGGGTATTCCTCCTCCTCCTCCTCCTCTTCCTCCTCTTCCTCCTCATCCTCATC